TTTTTGATTGATTTCATTTTTCGGTGTAGACGATAGAAGTGGCATTCCCATTTTTGTTTCTGTTAAAAAAAATATATTAAATATATATATATAATATATATATATATATACTTTTTATCTATGATATATATATATATATATATATATATATATATATGTACTAGCTGACCCGGCAAACGTTGTTGTGCTAAGTAAGGTATATTCTAAACAATTTCTAGAGAATCAAAAATATTAATACTATAAGTGTATAAAGATGTGTTGTTTGAATGCTATATATATATATATATATATATATATATATATATATATACGAGGTCTGTTCAAAAAGTACCCGGAATTTTCGTTTTTTCAAAAAATATTTATTTATTCGTCTACATTAATGTGGTCCCCTTCAAAGTAGTCCCCCCCAGATATAATACACTTATGCCAGCGTTTTTTTCCAATTTTCGAAGCACCCTTGATATTCACTTTTTGATATGTCCTTGAGCACTCTCAGCGATTTTCTTCAATCGAGGAAAACCGCCGTCCTTTCATGGGTCTCTTCAACTTTGGGAATAGGAAAAAGTCACACGGAGCCATATCTGGTGAATTTTTGCACTTTGCAACACTTTATTTCATTTTTTACGCAAAATTTAATACAAATTCTTTGACTTTTCAATTCTTCCATTGTAAAAATCGCCGAGCTCAGAAAAACACGTCGAACCTTAGCGACTACCACAGACAAAGTAAACAGTGAATATAGCTGAAAATTTCATCATACTTTAGGGGCATGTATACCAACACAATAAAAAAAAATTTTGACAATCAGACACTCCAGACCCGCGAAATTTAATTATTAGTAATTCCGGGTAATTTTTGAACACACCACGTATATATATTCAATGAGGTATTATAAAAACAAAAAACCCCATTAGTTTGTCTATATTTTGTCAATACAATCAAACTGGAAGTTTCATTCACTTAATATAGAAAACATGGTGTAATCCAATCCAAGTATTTAATGGTCTTTCGACTTATTGATTACGTTTCAAGTTTTTCAGATTCTTTTTGGATTCTGTATTTTGTGTATAATTGTAAATAATACTACTGAGCTTATCCAAAGTTTTCAAATTTCTGCGAGGAGAGATAGTAAATGAATTAAGTATTTTTTCTTTGACATGTTTTTTGAAAAGTTTCAAGTAACATTGAATGAATTAAATTAAATTTAATAAAGAGTATATATGTAGAGCAGGGCAAAGCACAAAGGTCCAATTTTGACTTTGAGCAAATATTAATTATATTATAATAATCAAACCAATTATATCACAAAAAACAACACATTTCGAACGAACAATTATCTGACTACGTTCAGTAAACTGCCAGCTACTTCATCATTGTAAAAATGTGCTTTTTTGATGTCTTTCAAAAATTTGTTATCTAGACCTTTTTATCCTATAGGCGAGGTAACTTGAAACGAGCAGGTGGCAAGAAGGTTTAAATTCTTATTATAATTTTAAAGGTATTTTACAAAATAATTACATTTTTAACTAATGCTAAAAAACTACCAACGGAAGAAAATACCGCTTATCTCCAGATAGCAAAGTCATAAGAATCAAATCATTATAGCTGGTTATGCATCTTTTTCCCTCTACTTTCAAATATGGTTGTTAAACAATGCTTAATTTTACTGGTTTTGACACATCGGTGGTGGACCTTCTTAACTCCGAACCTTCATATATTACTATCTATTCTTCGATAAATTCTGGGAAATTATAACTGGGAAAATGTTATTCGACAAAATGTCCATTTGATCGATACCAAATTTAGGTTCTGAATTAAATTACATAAATAAAAAATAATATAACGTAGAAAATATTTTATAAATACCAATGAGTATATAATTATACAAATGAGATCTTTCAGAGCACCGTGTTTGAGAAAAATATGCCAAAAAGTGCATTTTCATATTAACATTTCAAAAAAGTTGATATTTTGAGTTTTAGTAACACTTGCGGCCCGTTTAATAACGTTTTTGCATATAAATAAAACTACAAACAAAACTACTTACTACAATTTAATCATAATTAAACAATATTCACGTAAAACACATCCTATTAAACGTAATTGAACATCACACATTTCACGTATTAGCCACCGTCCAAAATTTTTAAATTAGAAATGTAAAGTTTTCTACGCGATTTTGAAATAATATTTCACCTTTCCGACAACCTACTGATTAGCACGAATTTTTCAAGACTAAGACTGGCCAAATCGGTTCAGCCGTTTAGTTTTAGCGGATCATTTGTTCGAGAACTCCATTTTATATATAAGAAGATATATATTAACAAAGTCTAGTAATCGGGCATAACATCAATAAAAAACATGAATTTCTTTCAAACATTTATTTTAAATCCATACGTTTCGGCTATAATCCTAGCCTTCATTCAGTGGAAACTAAAAATAAAATTAAAAACTAAAAACAATTGAATTGGAGTGAAAAGAAAAATAAAATAGTAAATAGTACTTACAGTTAGTTAATCTTAGTGTTAAATTGGGAACTTTTAATAATCCATGGTATCAAGATATGGTAATGCACTACACTATGTATTATAAACTTGTAATTACACAATATTTTCACAAAATACTAATTTAAAAAATCACAATTGGATAGTGTGTTGTTCGTAAACTGGTTGAAGATATAATGGAGAAGGGACATTTTAAAAAATATTTTTTACCAAAATTCTAACACATGTGTGGAACGAATTGCGAATAATTTGCGCGTCGTTTTTATTGTTTTGTGAGAAATTTGGAAATACTATCTAAATAAAAGAGGTTTGTGTCGCACAGCGTGTTGAGTTCATTCCGTTTATTTATTGTTTTATTGCTGTGAATAGTTAAAAAAAAATCCCTCTATAATTCTTCGTTTGAATAAATTTTGTTCGAATTGTAGTACAGACGGGTTAGAAAAGTCCATATTATGTTTTAAAGTATAAATATGCTCTGCTAACATAGTTTTAAAACTGTTTTGGATTTTTTTGAATTGTTGTTATGTTGTTGTATGTATTATAAATTCATAGTGTAGTGCATTACCATATCTTGATACCATGGATTATTAAAATTTTGAACTAAGGTCAACTAATTGTAAGTACTAATTACTATTTTATTTTTTCTTTTCACTCCAATTCAATTGTTTTTGTTTTTAATTTTATTTTAGTTTCCACTGAATGAGGCTAGTTATAGCCGAAACGTATGGATTTAAAATAAATTGAAAAAAATTCATGTTTTTATTGATGTTATGTCCGATGATTAGACTTTGTTAATACATATGTCAACATCAATTCAAATCATACAATATATGATATATAAATAGTCTTGAATTTTATGTTGATATATATGTTAATTTGATTTAGTGTAAGAATATATTTTATCTATATATTTAATGAACAACAACTCAAATTACATATATATATATATATATATATATATATATATATATATTAATTGTTTAATATGAACAAAACAGCACTCAGATTTGTTTACACAACTTTATTTTATGATTACAGACGTTTCGAGACCATGGTGTGTCTCATCTTCAGTGTAATTTCAAAAACAGTTACTTATATACTACACATTCTTTAATAACTTATTTAAATTTCATTTAATTTTTGATATACAAAAAACACCAACTATTCCTTGCAATGCTTGACACAGTACTAAAGAAACATATAACACTTACAGAAATATTCTAAACAAATTTGAAGTACTTATCTAGATGGAGACAGAGAGGGTATCATTATAATGTAAACAAAAGGAGTGCTATCGCATACAAAAATCGATAAAAATGAAAAAACAAATTAATTTATTGAAAAGAATAAGATAAATGAAAAAATTTATAAATTATTAATGATGTTTATATAAGTGTCATGTAAAATATTTGTGTCGGTTTTTAGATTTATGCTATTGTTAGTCCGAACTATTAACATTGATTCTGCCATGCTCCGTTTAAATAAGTCTTTCTCTTAAAGTCTCTTAAAAATGATAGTTCGGACTAACAATAGCATAAATCTAAGAACCGACACAAATATTTTACATGACACTTATATAAACATCATTAATAATTTATAAATTTTTTCATTTATCTTATTCTTTTCAATAAATTAATTTGTTTTTTCATTTTTATCGATTTTGTATGCGATAGCACTCCTTTTGTTCACATTATAATGATACCCTCTCTGTCTCCATCTAGAAAGTACTTCAAATTTGTTTAGAATATTTCTGTAAGTGTTATATGTTTCTTTAGTACTGTGTCAAGCATTGCAAGGAATAGTTGGTGTTTTTTGTTACCAAAAAATTAAATGAAATTTAAATAAGTTATTAAAGAATGTGTAGTATATAAGTAACTGTTTTTGAAATTACACTGAAGATGAGACACACCATGGTCTCAAAACGTCTGTAATCATAAAATAAAGTTGTGTTAAACAAATCTGAGTGCTGTTTTGTTCATATTAAACAATTAATATTCGTTCCACTCATATCATAAAATTCTATATTATATATATATATATATATATATATATATATATATATGTATATATATTACTACTTACCTTGACCTTGACAATCCTTTCCCCCATCCTCCGAATCCTCAGCACCACATTTACCATCCCCCATACCTCCGTCACCAGTGACTCCAGTCATCGGTGTCATTCCCAAAATATGCTGAACCAAAGAACCGCCCTGGCTATGCAGCCAAGCGTCTCCAAATTGGCTTCGAAGGTCAGTCAGCTGTCTCTTGGTCTCCAGATGAGACATATCTTCTGATGTATCATTTGCAGAAGTCGTACTGTCATGTAAACTGTTACTCTGTCGTGTCTGATTGCCATCGCTGTCTAAATTATTGTCGTCGTCCAGGTCTGCTATGATGGCGTTTCGTACTTTTACTGTTTTGATAGGCTTGAGACGAGATAAACTTGAATCGAATATCTGGGAAGAGAATTACGAATTGTGATAGATTGAAAAAATAGGAATTTAGTTTTAACTTCCCGTAGGGTAGTTATAGTAATGGGCCGAAAATCGAAAATGAAAGTTTTTATATATCTTTACGTTTCAGAAGTTTCTGAACATTTTGGCATACCTCAGAAACTAAATTTTTGTGTGTGTGTGTGTGTGCGGATACAAATTTTCGTAGAAGATTTCGGGAACACCGATCAACCGATTTAAACGGTTTAAAAAACATTCGATCCCTATTGATAAGGAGACGTGCTGATTAGTTTTTGGCAAAGACAGGTCCCGCCATTTCAAAGATACAGAGCTAAATGTGCAAAAAACGGCAGTTTTTGAGTGAACTAAGCGTCCGATTTGAATGATCTAAAAAACTTTCTGCTTGTAATTTACAAAACAATTGTTTTTGAGAAGAAACAAATATTACATCTTTTTTTATTTTCCATAAAATATTTTTGTAATTTTGGATTTAAAAAATTCAAAAATGACCCAGTCTAAGCACATTCTAAGTGCCACTCTGGTACAAATGCGTTACCCAAGTGCGTTTAGACTGTTTATGTACTGCAACACTTTTCCAATTTTGTGAAAACTACTATTGAAAATGTGAAAATGCCGCCAAGCTAAGCACAGTATAAGCGAAAATGTCGCACAGAATTATTTGCAATTGCGTTTAGACCGTGACTATACGAGAGCACTTTTTCAATTTTTAACTTCCCGTAGGGCAAGTTATAGTAATCGCAAAAAAAAATTTATATATCTTTACGTTTCAAAACCTTCTGAACATTTCGACATACCTTAGACAAAATGGATGTATGTGTGTGTGAGCGTGTATGTATGTGTGAGCGGATACAAATTTTCGTTGACGATTTCGGGAATACGGATGAAGCAATTTGAATAATTCAAAAAACACTCGATTCGTATTGACAAGAAGACGTGCTGATTAGTTTTTGGCGAAGGCAGATCTAGCCGTTCCGAATTTACGTGGCAAAAAATGCCAAAAACGGTAACTCAGTTTTTAAGAGAACGGAGCGTCCGATTTGAATAATTCAAAAAACATTTTACTTGTATTGACAAAATAAAGAATTGATCAAATTTTCATGAAGGCAGGTCTAGCGATTTCGGAGATCTAATGAAAAAAGTAAAAAAAAATGCCATTTCGAGGTCAAAAATGATCATTAGACATATGCACATCCAATTATCAGATATTTTATAGAGATTTTAACAATAAGTATATATTTTGTTTACATTCCTATCGGTTTCGTACCAATGTTTATCCGTTAGACGGCGGCGCGGCGCTTACGCGCTTCGATATTTCGTCTCTATGCAGTTAAAGCAGTACGATTGCTTTGAAAAAAAGTTCAGAATTTCCAAAAAATTTCAAAATAAAGAAAGTCACAAAATAAAGAAAGAAAGAAAATTTTTTTTCAAAAAGTCTTTTTTTCAAAAAAGGTAGATTTTTGTCAAAATTTTATAGTTTCTCAAAAATCTAATTTTTTTCAAAAATGTTAATCTTTTTAAAAGAAAATAATTATTAGTACGGGAAGTTCCAGCAATTTGCCTTAAGGCACGATGCCATACACTACTAGTTTATTTTTTATTTTGTTACCCTAATATCTGATGCTGTGGATTCGCTGGCACTGGTCTCGTTGGATTGTGTGGAGCTTACTGAATTCAAATGTTTTCTTGGAGATCTTTGGAGACGTTGGGCGATTTTGTAGGATCCTGTCAAGTTGTTTTCCACTTTCGACAACTTGATTTGATCCAGGCAGAACTGAAATTAAAAATATGCATTTTGTAACTTGACATCTAAAAAAACTACGTCATTTACTACCTTAATAGTTCCTGCATTCCTATGCAAATACTTTGCAGTCAGCTTCCTGTGTTCCGGATGAAACGACAGAGGATTCCCAGCAAGTGTCAGCCACCTCAAATGGGGCAAATATGAAACAGGCACTAAATTCGAATGATCTATAATATAATTATTAGCTAAATCCAACTCGCACAGAGCTTCCAACCGATTGACACCTGTTATAGTCTCAATATCATTATTGCTTATTTTTAATATCTGCAACTTCCTTCCAGATTCGACATGAAACATGGGAATCTCCTCAAGTTTATTGTAACTAAGATTGATGTATTTGAGGTTAGGTAGCCATTTCAGGGCTTCGGCAGTGACTATGCGATTATGGCTTAAATCAAGTACTTGGAGCCACGGTAGATACTCAAGACTTGAATCGATGCTCTGTAAACAGTTGTAAGAGAACTTGGCTTCTTTTAACTCAGACCATACAAAACCTGTGCTGTGATCAGCCCCACAAGAAGACAATATGTCTTTTATATTATCAACACAACGGATGCATGTTAAACTTTGTAATTGGGCACGTAAACTCTGTAAGCCTCTCACTGTTAATATAGGTATCTTGTGCACTTCTAAAGACCTTAAATTCCTAAACTTACTAATGTCAACATTATAATTCTTCTTACTACTCAAGTCCTCGGTGATACTCAAACACAAAGTTTTTTGCACAAAGTCATGTAGAAACTGTAAATCTAAAAATATCTCTGCTTTCATATTATTCGCAGGAATAACTTGAAAAGTAGTATTATAAACATCCCTTTCAGCTATTAGACAAAAGGCTTCGTTTAAGTCGTTCAATATAGGTCCAGAGAGTGTGAGTCGACATTTTTCATTCAGAATTTTATCGCCGTCTTTTCTTAATAGTTTAGCCAAATCGGATATGATTTTAGACTCCATATTTTGTCAAATTTAAGCCTTTTGCGAACGTCATGTATAAATATAAATTGTTTTAAAACTGCGTCAATATATGAAATGTCAAAAATAGATATAGGTTAAGTGAAACGTCAAACGTCATTGAAGGTTGGTGCGCGCGCACTCTGTTTATAAATGAAATAATGGAATCTATTAATAAAATTAAACGTAATAAAATCAATTATTCGTCATTTGTACGTTCATTCATACAATAATTCAATTATTCATAGGCAAAATTCATTCATTCGGTACTAGGGCTTAAAAAATACTATTTTATAGACAATTTAGTATTACAGGGAATTTAGAGGATGCATTGTTATTAAATGTATAACGTCATAAATTGTAATAAGATACTGTATAAAATACTGAAAGTAAGTAAAAAAATCAATGCTATTTTATAAATTTATTATTGAATTAATATTTACAAATTTGAACGTCAGTTAAGATTAGTGCACACTAGTTTCAACTGTCAAATACTGAATTTGCAGTTTGGTATTTGAATTTATTAATAAAATTAGATAAAATTCAAGTAAATCATTAGTTTTTTATCTATTAATCCACATTTCATTATTTTTTCGTACATAAAATTCTAAATAAATTTAATTAATTAATTCATACACAGAAATCATTTAAACGTCAGTTAAGTATAGTGCGCGCACTCCATTTTGGTTTCAACTGTCAAAAACTGATTTTATTGTTTTGTATTTGAATTTATTAATAAAATTGGATAGAATTCAAGTAATTCATTAGTTTTTTTATCTATTAATCCACATTTCACTTAATTTTTTCATACATAAAATTCTAAACAAATTTAATTAATTAACTTCATTAATAAAATTCATTTAAACGTCAGTTAAGGTTAGTGCGCGCAATCCATTTTGGTTTCAACTGTCAAATACTGAATTTATACGTTTGTATTTGAATTTATTAATAAAATTGGATAGAATTCAAGTAATTCATTAGTTATTAATCTATTAATCTACTTATTAATCAATTAATTCATATATGTATAAAATTCATTAATTCAATACAAGTGTTTGTAAAATACTTTTTATTTACAGTAGTGAAGGATTTGTTATTAAAATGTAATAATTCATTCGTCATTCATAATTTTATTAATAGAGTCCGAAGGACAATTTTCTTTATTACATATTTTAATTTTTGTCAGAATACAATATCATATGATCTATATCACTCACATATATGAAATTTGCAAAATTTTAGTATATCCATAGTATATCAATAGGGTTATTACACTGATGAATGATTCACCAATTCTGTATGAAATTTAAGTCTATAAAATCTCAAAAATTTTTAGTCGTATTAATATATATTCATAAATATAATTGTTATCGGGTAGGAATTTCTTCTTAAATCTGATGTCTAAAAACTGTTGATGAATCTTCAAGCTCCTGAAAGAGAATCTTATAATGCCTCCTATAAAGACTAGATTATCAGTAAAACAGTACTCAATTTACCAGTACAATCCCACAACCATTTAATTAAATATAAATAATTAATTACATACCTCAAACAACCCTGTGTTTAAAATTTCTTTGTCATTTAATTGCTCTAGAGAAATACTTGTATCGACATAGGTTGTACCATTTCTAAATCATATATTACATTACTTAAATACATATTATCATTTAATTATTGAATATAGCTTAATAAATTCTCCATCGGAATGATCTTGGTTTTTGTCTATATATAAATGTATATATAGAAACATAACATGTTTTGTTTATTGATTCATTATCCCTGCAAATAAATGAATAAAACAACAAGATTAATATTAATATAATATATGTATGTATGTGTGTACATGACTATAAATTACACTTTTTTTTAATTAATTCATTATTTATACAAATGTCTTTGGATATCTAGCTTTTCTTTTAGGCGGAATAAACCAAAAGCGAATTTTTAAACTAACCAACCACAAATTGAAATATATATATATATATATATATAAAATCGACAACTAAAATTTAAGTTTTTACTATTTATTTATTTTGTTACTAAATTTTTAAACTTTTCACTAATTTGTTTAACAAAATATATTTCATTTTAGAAAAAACTGTTACAAATGCAAAAAAAAATTGTTACACAAAAATTCATACATACAAGTAAAATCTTTCAATGGAAAATTACATAATTAGTTTTTAAAATAATTAGTATTTTTAGTCATCTTTGAAGAAAATTCTTATTAATTTCATTAAAACATCAAAAATATAAGATTTTTGTATATTAGTTCAAAAGTATCGCAAAAAGAAAGAAAAATTGTATATAAATTCATACAAACAATTAAAATAGTTAGTTCATTAGGAAGAAAATTAAATAAGTAGTTAAATTAAATTGATTTCTTAATTTTTCATTATTTCATTTTTAATGTTAAATCATATTTTTTGATTAAAGCAAATTATTAAAAGTATTTATACAAAACCCAAAAAATTATTTAAAAAATATGTACAGTATAAAAACATGACATTTTTAAATAATTTTCCAACTTTTAAATTCAAAAATGATTAAATGGTATATGAATATTATTCTTAAGAATGTATTCTGAAAACTGCTTATAAATAGAATAAACGAAAATTGTATCCAAACATACATACACACACACAGTAAGTTCAATTTTAAACATTCAAATTTCAAATTCAGAAAAATCGTTAATAACTCAAAAATAATTTGTATATATTATAAAACGTTTGTAAATTTAGTAACAAATAAAAACTGGACCAAAGTCAGTTGTTTATATTTATATATATATATATATATATATATATATATATATATATATATATACATTTGTGGTTTAACCTTCGTTTTCTTCATCCTTTACAAACTAAACATTTACAACTAGATATTTTCTCTTAAATTTAATAATAATAATAATAATAAATGTAGGCAATTATTATTCGAGAATACAAAAAGCACAGAGCCGGCATTTTTTGCATTTTTTTTATTTAGGCAAATATAATATTTTTATTTAATAATTTGATTTGTTTAGAATAAAAAATTCAGGCGATAACAAAAAGTTAGAGATGACAATAAATTTTTTTAGTCCTTGAATTGGCGAAGGAAAAGTAATATATATATATATATATATATATATATATATATATATATATTATTCCTTCGCACAATCCAAGTTCCAATACAACAATATATATTTATATATTTATTTATTTATATATCTAAAAAAGGCTTTGTGGATTATTTATTTATTTATATATTTATTCATTTGGCTTCTTAGTAACTTAATATATATGTATAAATATATATATATATAAATATTTATTTATATATATATATATATATATATATTTATACATATATATGTATAATTATAAAGTTGAAAAATTTAATATTAAATCTATATATTAAATTTAAATACAATTCACATATGGAGCGAGATTTTTTTTAAAGTTGCAGTATTTATTGTCAAGATCATTTTTTATTATATATACGTTTATATTTATATATATATATATATATATATATATATATATTTAATTTGAGTTTAATATTCGGGCGTAATTAAAACAAATTAAACATATATATCAACATCAAATTCAAGAATATTCAAAAATATATATATATATATAAATTTATATGTGTGTTTATAAAGCATTCATCCAACAAATAAAAAATACTAAACTAATTTCATTAAAATAAAAATTCATGTAAACTGTGTTCTATCTAATTTAATTTAAAATGTATTTAATTTTATGTAAACTGTTTTGTAATATACCATTTAATTTTTAAAACGTTTCGAATCCCAATTAGAGTCATCAACAGTATAATAAATATAAAAATTGAACAAAAACAAAATTTTACAAACTAAGAAAATAAAATCAATAAATTATTAAAAAAAATAACATGCTATTGCAATTAATTCATGAAATTTATTTAATTATTTTGTCTAATTTGTAAAAAAAATGAATTATTCTTGTATTTTATATAATTTTTGAATTATTGTACTAAAAAATCAGGAAAAGTTTTTAATTTACAATATAAAGTAGATTGTAGAAAATAATTTTGATTTTTATTTTCTAATCATTTTTCTGAAGATTAAATGAAATATCAACAATATAAGTAAGATGAATGCTTAATAAAAACTAATATATATATATATATATATATATATATATATATATCTAAAAACGTCGAAAAAACTATCAAGATATATATATATATATATATATATATATACAAACGTATATATAATTATTTAATTAAATATAATCTCATATATCTATTTAATATATTTTATAAATGTTACTTTCACGATTTGGAATGATAAGCAAAAAATTTCATTTATTATTTATAGATTCTTAAAAACTTTTTTAATATATATTTATATATTTATAAGTGTACTATATATTTATATATATGTATAGAATTTAAAGTATTTTTTCCTCAAAGGTTTTGAGAGAAATCGAATAAATGAAACCTACTACATTAGTTTTTTCATATTATTCCCTAAAGTCGACCCTCAGAAATAGAAATTTACAATAAAAAGCGTTTATATACATTTATAACAAATATATATATATATATATATATATATATATATATATATTTGTTATACAATTATTTATAAGTACATTTAATACTACAATATATAGCATTTTATTTTTTTATATATATACATTGTTAAAAGAAGTTAAGAAGTCGTACACAAAAAATAGTAAATATTCTATTATACTTAATATATTATTCTTTATATATTTATGTATTAAACTTTTGCTTTATTGTAGTATTGTCATTTCAAAAACACTATGTTTACTCTTTTAAAAATAAAATAGTAAACAAGAACTTTGGAATTTACGTATTTGATTGGCAAATCGCAGAAAAATATAAAATAATAGTTGAGAAATTTAAATTTAAGATATTACTTTCTGGTAAAAATATATTTTTTACTCTTGAATTTAAATATAACATTGGGATTTTTTGTTTAAATTTAATTACATTTTTAAAAGGTGATCTTCTTAATTAATTAAAAGTATTTTTATTACTTTGGTAAATTTATTATAATTAAAAAAACTCAAAATAATGATTGGTTTAAAAAGTATCCTGATGTTATTTTTTATTTCTTACACAAAACACAGCCGGCAAAGTCAATATAAAAAAAATATTACAATTAGCAATAATTTCGAATAATTGAACAATTTTGAGACCAAATGGATGATTTTGAAAAAAATTAAACTATTTATATTAATAAGAACTTGATAAAATTTATAGTACATTTATTATAGTTATATAAATGAGCAAAACTATAAAGAAATATTGAATATAAAAAAATTAAGAAATAAAAGAGATAATTTTGCAATTATTGAATTACTCTTTCGCTACGAGCGTCGACTATAGGCGAAATTCTCTATGTGTCGACTTAAGACGACATGGCAGGTGCTTCAAAAATTTAACAATCTGAGTTAAATCACTGCGAATTCTAATTCGTTATTGTAATTTTTAAATTAATTTTGAAAATAATGAATTTATCAAATTGGTGACCCCAACATTTTTTGAAAATTCAATAATTTAAAAAATAAGAAAGAAAAAAATCATTTATGCAGATATGTCAAAAAATCTAACTTTTTTCGTTATTGTAATTTTTAAATTAATTTTAAAAATAAAAAAATTGGTGACCCCGACATTTTTTGAAAATCCGATAAATTTTTGAAAAAATAACGGAAAAAAGTATATTTATACAAATATATTAAGAATTTTTCATTCATTGTCAGAGTTTTAACTGAACACGTTTTAACCCTTTCGCTACGAGCGTCTACTATAGGCGAAAATCCCTGGTCGTCCTGTGTGCACGAGTGTCGACTAAAAACGACATGGCAGGTGTTTCAAAAATTTAACAATCTGAGTTAAGTCACTCCAAATTCTAACTCGTTATTGTAATTTTTAAATTAATTTTGAACATAAAAAAATATTAAATTGGTGACCGAAAAAAGATTTGGACATCCAATAATTTCAGAAAAAGGAGAGAAAAAAAGTATATTCATATAAATATTCTTTAAACAATCAATTTTATAAAGATTTAACTAAAATCCTTTTAACATCCGCTTGACGACCTGTGTGTACGAGTGTCACTTTTAGACGACAGACAGTGTGTCGATTTTTGCTCAAGTATTTATCACTTTGAATAAAATTATTGAAAATTCTAAGTCGTTATTGTAATTTTTAAATTAATTTTGAAAATAATAAATTTATTAAATTGGTGACCCCAACACAAATCAAAAATGCATGCATTTTTAGAAAAATGAAGAATATTTATATAGATATTTTTTAAACGATGATTTTTACATATAGTTAACAAAATTCTTTTTAACATCCGTTTGACGACCTGTGTGTAGGAGTGTCGCCTATAGACGACATGCAGTGTGTCGACTTTTGTTTCAAGATTTATCACTCTGAATAAAATTCTTAAGAATTCGAATTCGTTATTGTAATTTTTCATCTTCAAATACATTTTCATTAATAATTAGAAAATTTTTAAATATTTTGAGCAACAAATACATATTATAAAATTTTTCTGTCGATTTGCCAAAAAACGAATATGTAAACTATATAGAAACCTTCATGTGAAATCATTTCTTATGTAAAAAATATAAAAATAAATGTAATGTAATTGTATAATAGTTAATATTTAATACTTCATAAATGTCTTGTTAAAATTAAATACCAAAAATAGTAATAATATATATTTATATACAGAACTTAAAATAAAATAAAAATATTTCCTCTATTTGGTACGGGTAAGGAAGACTCGTTAACATAAACATCTCAATGTATATTTGGCAAATAAAATTTTGGCAAGATTTCATTTATGACTATTTTATAATATATATATATATATATATATATATATATATATGATAAAATTGATTCTTGGGCATCCATCCAATAATTAAAAAACAGTTTTATTGAAAAATGTTTTTATTAAGGGAACATACGTTTCGGGTCTAGATTTGACCCATCTTCAGTGCATACAAATAAATTTAAAAAAAAAATTTTTTTTTAAAAATAACACAAAGAAACAACACAAAATTGTAACGAAAAAATAAATATGAAATAAAAAATTGAAAAGACGTCAAGTTATGAAAATTTTGAAAATTGTAAAATTAAAATAAATAATATGTTTTGTTATAAAAAAGCTTATTCCAAACTAACAACATGTTCGTTTGGAATAAGCTTTTTTATAATAAAACATATTATTTTTTAATTTTACAATTTTCAAAATTTTCATAACTTGACGTCTTTTCAATTTTTTATTTCATATTTATTTTTTCGTTACAATTTTGTGTTATTTTTTTAAAAAAAAATTTTTTTTTAAATTTATTTGTATGCACTGAAGATGGGTCAAATCTAGACCCGAAACGTATGATCCCTTAATAAAAACATTTTTCAATAAAACTGTTTTTTAATTATTGGATGGATGCCCAAGAATCAATTTTATCATATTATTTCACCATCTGAAGAAAAACCTTTCGCTTTATATATATATATATATATATATATATATATATGTATATATATATATATGTATATATATATATATATAAAGCAAAAGGTTTTTCTTCAGATGGTGAAATAATATGATAAACTGATATATATATATATATATATATATATATATATATATATATATATATATATGATATTCAGTTTTCAGGGCAATACATCAATTAAAAAATTTGTATGACTTTAAAACAATTTTATTTTTTCCATACGTTTCGACACATTGTTTTGTGTCATCTTCAGTGGACTATGTAATTGTAATAATCCTAATTATTTCAAAATTATAATTGTTCACAATGCACAATCCTAATTATATCATATTATAAATGTTCACAATGCGAGGATCGGAGCACAGAAATGTACGGCGTGATGTTACTTTACAAATTCATAAAAAATCTCATTCAAAAATTTATATATTGTTCAATTTAAAATGACAAAGATTGTTTTTTGTTGCATTGTGAACATTTATAATATGATATAATTAGGATTGTGCATTGTGAACATTTATAATATGCAATAATTAGGATTAATTCAATTACATAGTCCACTGAAGATGACACAAAACAATGTGTCGAAACGTATGGAAAAAATAAAATTGTTTTAAAGTCATACAAATTTTTTAATTGATGTATTGCCCTGAAAACTGAATATCACATATTTCAACATCAAAATTATATAAAAAAATTTAATATATATATATATATATATACATATATTATAAATTATATATATATTTATATATTTGGTACATTTCGAGTATTATTATGGTACTAAATTAATATTAATATCGACTGGCAATTTTATCTTTATGGCAACTTGAATTCACAGATAAAACTTTGTTAAAACTAAAAATAAAATATAATAAAATTTTATAATACGATAATAGAAATATTTGGTAAAATTAAATATAATCTATTTATATATATTTTAAAAAATTGGTTTCATATATATGTATATATACACGCATAAAACTAACAAACACTGGAGTATTTCATTTTTAAATCACATCTAATAAAAAAAACATTAATAAATCTCACGTAGTAAAAAATAGATTTGGAATTTCATTTTTAATTAATATATATTTAATATTTATGTACTTTACCGCGATACCGAGTCGATAAAACTTAAAAAATTAAGTACTTGCGTTCTGTTAAGTCCATTATTAGTTCATGTTCCGCCCGCTCGGTACCCGCCGGTTCGCAACCTGGATATCTGGTTCTTACTCTCGGTATGGTTTGCAGTACGAATAGCGATGGTTCATGTGCTGGCTGTATGAGCCAGAGTGCGAGAACCTTTTCAAACATTTGCAACATTGAAAGGGTTTCTCTCCGCTGTGCAGACGTTTGTGCTCTGTGAGGTGGTGTTTGTGCTTGAATGCCTTAGGGCACTCGACACACTTGTAGGGCCTTTGACCTAAAGCGATAAAGGATACATGTGTTGACTATGCTTCGTATTTATTACCTTCCCGTCGGGTAAAAATATTGCTCTAATTTTTTTCCCCAAATTTTTTTCCCAATTTTTTTCCCCAAAGATTTTTTTCCTGAAAAATCAAAGGCTATAGTCCATGGTTTTCCCCAAAGTTTTTTGCCCCGAATTTTTTTCCCAAATTTTTTTTTCAAAACTTTTGGATCGATTTTGAATCGAAATTGAAATTTTTTACATTTCTTCACGGCATACCTCAGAAAAAATGGATGTGTGTGTGAGTGTATGTATAGGTAAAATTTTTCGGTTTCGATTGGTCGATTTATCTGTTCAATTATGTTCTTATTTAAACTTTTCAATAATTCTATAGACTGTTCTCTTATTCTTAACCAACTATCCTTTAATGTTCCAAGGTTATCTACGCGTTCGCAATTATTTTTCAATTATCCTACTCCTAAATCTAATTCTCTCTTAAATTCGCCTATTTTACTTATATCCTCTAACTTTAACTTAATTAATAATGAAATAGATATTTACAACTCTTCATCTAATCAAATAATCTCCATCTGCACAAGTTAACCTTTTTATTTTCTTTTCAAATATCTCAATATTTTATCTTATTCTGTTTATAAATAATATTGGTACATTCTGCATTATATGTAATTTTATGTTAAGCATTTTATGTTCATAACTATATATTGTAATTTTGTATATATATTTTAATTGTTATTCATTATCTAAAATAATTGTAATTTTGAGTACTCTTGGAAGAAATCTGTGGGCTATATATTTAAAAAATAAATAAATAAATAAATAAATATCGTAGTATTTCATTTAAATATACAACAATTAAACATTTATTTATGATCTTTTAATCCGTCTGATATAGTCACTATCTAAATATATCTGGTCCTTCGAAAATATAAACAAAATGTAATTTTTAATAGAGTTCGGCAGCATCTCGGTGAATCACGAACTTCTGTATACTTTTAATCTATCTTTTCACAACATATTTAGCCTTGAGGCAAGTTACATGAACTTCCCGATATGTGTAATTAATCGACTTAATCAATAAAAAATAATTTAATTTATGAGTGATTAGAAGTATTCCGAGTGGATTTATTTATTACACATGATTGAAAACGAACGAACACTTTAACTCGGAGCATTTTCTAATAGCAAATTTTCAAAAATCACCAGTTTTTATAATTGAACCAGTTTCCATAGGACTTTAATGGTTTAGTATGTTCATCAAAACCAAGTACTCTATCGTTAAGTAAATAATAAATAATAAATCGTCTAATTTTAATTTTAACAAACGTCAAAAAAACTACTCATTTTCTTAATCTTTGATGAATTTTTAAAATTAAAGTACTTAAGACCGTGATATTTTAGTAAGTTCTATAAGACCATGATAAATATCGCCAAAAAAAAGTTTCATGAAAATCGGCTTAAATTTTGTTTTCAACAGTTAATTACAAGAAAACGGCTCGGTAGATTTTCACCTAAATCTAATCAGTATCATTTCCAATTTATATCTTTCGAACAGTTTTTGATTTTTTAAAATCGATTCGGTAGTTTGAGCTTAAATGTGAACGAAAAGTTTAACACTTTTTTTCAAATTACAAAGAAACGGCTCGGCAGATCTTCTCACAAAACTGACAAATTATAGTCCTCATTGAGATACATCAAATGGCTTTTAGATTAGAAAGAAAACGGCCCGGTCGATCTTTACCAAAAACTAATAAGCACGATTCCCAATCAATATCTATCAACCGGTTTTTGAATTTTCTAAATCGATTCAGAATTGCGGGCTGAAACGTGGACGAAAATTTTTTCACTTTTCGTCGCACACGACTGAGAAACGCTAGTCCTCATCGAGATACATCGAAAGGCTTTTAAATTTTTGAAATCGGTCCAGCCGTTTTGGAGAAAACGTCGATTTACGGCAAAAAATCTGTTCACACACACACACACACATACACACACACACACACACATACTTTTTCCAAATTTGTTCTCATTCGATTCAGAATGGCTCGAAACGTCGAGAAAACATAAAATTAGCGAATCGGATTTTTTGATGAAAACAAACTTCTCCTTCGGGAAGTTAAATAACACGAGTTGAAGTTAATTATGAAGTAAAAAAAAACCTAAAAAAAAAATTATATCCTCAAATAGTATATGTGATTTCAAAATCATTAATTTATTGTAGTAAAACAAAAACTTGTGATAAATTGACTTAAACCCTTACCTGAATGTTCATATTTATGCCTCGCCAACGAGCTCTGTTTCGAAAACGCCTTATCGCACTGATCACAAACAAACTGCCCATCCTCCTCCTTGACCTGCACCAAATGCCCACCATTACTCTGACTTCGTTTCGCATCAGGAATCAGCAGACCATCCTCCTCCTTCACCATCTTGCTCCAACTCCTCTTACCGGAAAAGTTAGTCGGGCTGTCACTGTTCTTCATCTGATACTGCTGGGTGAGTTGACTCAGGTTGTTGTTCAAATTGGCCTGGATCGATATAGGCGACAAATTTTGGAACCTAGATAACCATTTTGTGGGCAAAGTTGCTGGCCGTGTAACTCGGATTGATTAGGGGATAGGTCATGGTGAGAAGTCTGGGTGATGGTGTTCTTGTTAAGATGTCATTGCCTAGAAGAGAAGAGAAAACAAGGTTGAGGAAATGTATCTTAAGCAATAAATATGGTATGTTAATGAACATATATTACATGAACATTACACTAGACAACACAAGAAGTTTCATA